CACTCAAGAGGTTGCAAGAATCCCTCGCCTCAATAGGACCAAAGGATAAGCCAAGAATCCCCTAGGAAAGCAAACAGGCACTGCCCAAGATGGATAGGCAATTAACACCCTTGTCGAAGCTCCGATGAGAAATCCTCCAGATCCATAGGGTTGAATTACCAGCTCCGAAACCCTTGGCCCCTAATCCGAACAGATTAACCGAACAATACTGTGAGTATCACAAAGATCACGGCCACGACACGGAGGATTGTCGAGAGCTCAAGCGTGAAATCGAGAACGGGGTCAAATCGGGAAAGTTTCAGCAATATGTACAAGGAACAGCCTCCCGGCAGAAGAAAAATAGACCCCAGTCTCGAGATCACCCTAAAAGGAACTTCAGGGGCCCACAAAACAATGGGCAATCGAGAGCCAATCCCCAACAACAACACTATCCCATACTGAAGCACCGCCATAGCCATTGCAAGAATTACCCCTGGCAGATCCAACAAAGCTAATCAATCACCAGGTAGGGGCTATTTACGGAGCTCCCCTCGAAGTCTTATCCACGACAGCCATGAAGAACTCGTTGCGAACTGTCACCAAAACCCCTCGACAAGAGCCTAGCCACAAGGGGTTCAAAGGAACAGAGGCCATTGTATTCACAGATAGCGATGTGGTCCCAGACATTTGTCCCCACAGTGACGCTATGGTCATAGAAGCAATAATCGCAAACGTAAAAGTCGGGAGGGTTTCTGTGGATAACAGCAGCGCGGTCGACATCATATATAGTGATTGCTTCAAGAAAATGAATATCAAAAACCCTTGCATCCGCCCAGTTACCATGCCACTGATGGGATTCTCAGGACACACCATTATCCTCACAGGTATAATCAGCCTACCCATCTCGATAGGGTCGCATCCTAGGACAGTCACTTTGACCATGGATTTCGCCCTAATAGATGCACCCTCGCCGTTCAACGTGATCCTAGGGCGACCTTGGATGTGCCAGGCACGCGCGATATGGTCCTCTTATCACTTGGTTATGAAATTCCCAACAGAATATGGAGTAGGAGTAGTGAAAGGATGCCAACGGAGTTCTCGAGAATGCTTGCTCACTGCGGTTAGAATTGGAAAGAAGACCTCACACCTTAACCCAGGGTCCGCCGTGTCAGAATGCTACTCGATTCGGCAAACGGTCAACCCACCAGAGGAAAAAGACCCCGAAACATCTGGCCTTCCCTCGTTTAGCAGCAAGACGCGAGAATTAACCCTGAGTGAGACTGATCCCACCAAGACCATCCAAATTGGGGTTTCTTTCCAAGACCCCTTGCTAACCGAGATCAGCGTCTTGCTACGCGAGTACCAGGACATATTCGCCTGGTCCCCAGCGGACATGACAGGAGTCCCTCGAGAAGTCAAAGAACATAAGTTAAATGTTGATCCAAATGTCAAACCAGTACAACAGAAGAGGAGAGTATTTGCTCGAGAATACAACGATGTCATCAACGAGGAAACGATGAAGCTAGTCCGTGCCAACATACTCCGGGAAGTTTTATGGCCTACTTGGTTGGCCAATCCGGTCTTAGTGCGAAAACCCGACAACTCCTGGCGTATGTGCCAAGACTACACCGACCTCAACAAACATTGCCCCAAGGACTGCTACCCTCTACCAGTCATAGATCAAATGGTGGAGGGTATTGCCGGGTATAGAGTCCTCAGCTTCCTTGACGCCTACAAGGGATATCATCAAATCCTCATGGCACGGGACGATGCAGAAAAGACAGCCTACATCACCGAAATAGGGGTATATTGCTACGACAAGATGCCCTTTGGACTGAAAAATGCTGGAGCAACATACCAACGTCTCGTGAACAGAACCTTCCATGACCAGATTGGCCGGAACATCGAGATTTACATAGACGACATGGTAATAAAGACCAATAAGGACAAGCAGGTGCCCGTAGACATGCGGGAGATCTTCACGATATTACGCAAGATCAACATGAAGCTGAACCCTAAAAAATGCACCTTTTGTGTAGGGTCAGGGAAATTCCTAGGGCACCAAATCTCCAAGGCTGGAATAAGCGTTGAACCGACTAAAATCGAGGCTATCTTAGCCATGGAAACTCCAAAAACCGTCAAGGAAGTTCAAAAACTCACAGGCTCCTTGGCGGCCCTAAACAGGTTTCTATCTCGAGCCGCAGAAAGAAGCCTCTCATTTTTCCGTACCCTCCGGAAAGGCAGAAAATTCGAGTGGAACGAAGAATGCCAGAAAGCCTTCCAAGACCTAAAAGAGCACCTCAAGCAGTTGCCCACACTAGCCAAGCCTGAGCCAGGAGAAACACTATACATTTACCTAGCAGCCCGAGAAAAAGCCGTCTTGGCGGTCCTCACACAGCGCAAGGACGGCAGAGAAGTCCCCGTCTATTTTGTTAGCAAAGTCTTGCAGGGGCAGAAACCCGTTACACACCCATGGAAAGGCTTATCCTCAGCCTAGTCGCCGCACGACGTCTGTGCCCATATTTCTAAGCACACCCCATCATGGTTTTAACGGAACAACCAATTCAGCAAGTGCTGCTAAAGCCAGAAGCATCCGGCAGGATGATGAAATGGGCAGTCGAATTGGGCGAGCACCATATTGAATACAAGCCTCGATCAGCCATCAGGGGGCAAGCCTTTGCAGATTTCTTAGTAGAAACTCCTTGAGCTATCGAAGTGAAAGAAACGGCGGAGCCTAAAGATGATCCCACCACTCGCATCCATATCCACCCTCGAGCCTGGTCACTATACGTCGACAGATCTCGTTGCGAGAAAGGGGGAGGAGCCGGCATCATATTATCCAAACCTCCAGCTGATCCCGACATCGAGAACATGAAGGAGTACGACGCAGAGTATACATATGCACTAAGATTCGGTTTCTCGGTCACCAACAATGTAGCAGAATACGAGGTACTGATAGTAGGGCTAAACATGGCACTAAAACTGGGGGTTCGCCAAATTCAAGTTTTTAGTGATTCCCAAGTAGTGGTGAAACAAATATTGGGAGAATACACGGCAAACGACGAGCAGCTCAAGCGCTACCTCGAGAAGGTCCTCGACATCAAGGCTAAACTCGAGGAATGCACCGTGTGCCACATAGTCCGCTAAAAAAACAAAAGAGCCGACGCCCTCAGCAAGCTGGCCTCCTCGAACTTTGCACACCTTAGCCACAAAATATGGGTCGAAATTCTCCCCAATCCTAGTATCCAGGACATCCCCGTAGCGACCATCGTCGAGGACGGCGACACTTGGATAACCCCTTTTATCCAATACCTTACAGATGGGATGTTGCCGAACAGAAAAGCAGAAGCCAGAACCCTCCGGTTAAAGGCAGTTAAGTACACATTCTGAGACGGCATCCTATATAAGGATGGATACCTGCTACCCATGCTAAGGTGTATTGGCCCAAAACAAGCAGGTTACGTACTCGAAGAAGTACACGAAGGATCACGTGGAGCTCATATGGGAGCCAGAGCCCTCGCAAAGAAGGTCTTGCGAGCAGGATATTTCTGGCCGACAATTTTCAAAGATGCCTACCAATGGGTACAAAAATGTGGGAAGTGTCAGCGCTTCTCCCCCATCACCCGGCAGCCACAGCACGAGATGGTCAACATCCAAAGCCCTTGGCCATTCTATCAATGGGGCACTGATATCATCGGTCCCTTTCATCCAGAAGGAGTAGGAGGAGTAAGATGGGTCATTGTAGCAGTAGATTACTTCACCAAATGGGTAGAAGCCAAACTCTTGGCCTCGATCACAGGCAGGAAAGTCTTGGATTTTTTCTGGCAGAACATAGTATGCCGCTTTGGGGTCCCGAAAGTTATCGTCTTTGATAATGGGACCCAGTTCGAGAGCAATACTTTCAAGTCATGGTGCAATGAAATGTAGATCGAACGCTGCTTCTAAAGTGTAGCTCATCCCAAGCCAATGGGCAGGCCGAATCCATCAACCGAACAATACTGCATGGAATCAAGACCAGGCTGTATAACACCAAGGGGGCATGGGCCAACGAACTTTCTCACGTCCTGTGGTCATATAGAACAACTGCCCACTCCTCAACCAACGAGACGCCGTATAGCTTAGTCTATGGTATGGACGCTGTCCTCCCGGTCGAGATCGGTCTGTCGAGCCCTCAAACCACAAACTTCGTCGAGAGCACTAATGATGATGACATCCGGCTAAACCTTGACCTGCTCGAGGAACGTCGAGATGCCATCAGAATTCGAGAAGCCAAATATAACAAGACTCTTCGCAGACATTACAACAAGAAGGTGAAAGCCACGAATTTCGCTGTGGGTCATCTCGTGCTAAGGAAAAATGAGGCCAGTCGGGCAGAAACCGTAGGAAAACTTACTGCAAATTGGGAAGGGCCTTACAAGATTATCCAGACTTCCCCAGCAGGCTGCTACCGCCTACAGGCCATGGATGATAGCGGAACCATTCTCCCTCGATGGTGGAACATTCAGAATCTTTGCAGGTTCTATGTTTAAGTCTTTGTCCGCTATTTGCCTATTATGTGTTCTATTTGCTTTATTTACCCAGTCAGTTTTACACTCTCATATGTAATGCTAACCCGGATCCTCGGGAAATTATTCAATAAAAGACATTACATATTCTTCTCATTAATAGCAATGCATTCATGACTAGTCATCGAGATGGACTCCCTCTTTAGGGCCATCCTCGTTCAAGAGCCATGTACTCAACATCCGGACACAAACTCGAGGAATTTTCCTCATGCACATTGCGAAACGCAATGTCAAGTCAGCGAATTTGTACCCAATTCCTATGATAAGAGCCGTGTACTCTACATCCGGTCTAAAAAGTGCTTTAAGAAAATTAATTAATACTCGAGTAAAACAAACATTCGTTCCACACTACTGTGCGAACTCACAAGAAAAGTACATACATTCTACACTATTATAAGCACCTCCCTGACTGGAATGTCAGGGGAAGGATGAATAATCCCCTTATACCCATGCAGGCTAAGGAGATTCACACACTGATTCAATTTGTCCTTTAGGTCCACGATCTCTGTGTCCTGAGCGTGCACCTTCATCAACAGCTCCTCTTGAGAGCTCCGATTTTGAGGATCCACTATTTTCTATGGACGCTCGAAAGCCTAGAAGTCGACATTGTTGTCCAGCAGAATATTTTGCAGTTGAGCAACATATTCTGTAAGAAGCTCGATCTCGTGAGACCTCTCTTTCAATATATCCATGGCTGCGATATAACGCCAAGTCCTTATCATAATCATGTGCTTAACACCTGGTGCTTCTCGAGAAACCAGGGAGACACAGTAATCTGCTACCTTGCCCTGAGTCGAGCATTTTCCTTCTCCATGGTCACCAGCTTGTCATGGATCTCAGCCTCGAAAGTTAGAGAATCACTGTGGTCTTTCAGGCTTTGAACCTCTCGACGCTGCATCTCCTCGCGAAGTCCTTTGATCTTGTTTATCAGATGCTGGTTAACCTTCACATTGTGCGTCCTCATGGCATCAAGCAGGTCCTTCTCCAAATTCGCCAGCGTCTCAAGGTTGTGCACATCCACGCGGCTTCTCAGAATCCCACTTATCATGGAATATAACGGGAATTTCCTCTACTGCTCCTCTGACAACACCATGTGATGAACGCAGTGAACGGTCCAACTTCCCTGTTTAACAACAAAAGTATAAGGCATAAAAGAACACAGAGGACCAAAAAGAAAAAATGGAAGGGAAAAAGTCGTTTGCGTAAATCTGAGAAAAGGGAAATTTGTTCATTACAATAAAAAGAAAAGGTTTGAATGGCCTAAAAACTATTACAAAAGGCAGGATTCATACAACATCACTGCCTGGGAAAGGATCGTTGGAAGGATCATTAGAAGGGTCCTTGGAAGGGGCCTGAGAGGCGTCCTTGACGGTTCTCTGAACACCAGAGTGGCTGGTATCAGCAACGTCTTCCTCGGATTCCTCATCTGCATCTTCGAGCTCGATACCCATGTACTCGTCAGGAACCTCGGGTATAGGATCTTTCTCACTCGCACCCTTAGCCAAGACAGCAGGGACGTCGCCCGGAAATGAGGCAATCACCGCAGGGGAACTCATCCTGGACATGGCACCTTGTCAAGACCTTAACCATGGCCTCGTGCATGGTTTTCTTTGGGTCCTCCATCAAGAGTTGCTTGAACCATTTGGCCTTAATTGGCCTATCCTGGTCGAGCCTCTTCAACCCGGCCACACCCACTCGGTGTGCACCACACTTGGTGACAACCAAGTTCACCTCCTCAAGGGCTGCCGCCATTCCCCCTGTGGATATCATTCTATACATAAAAGCGGTACACCACTGGTGGAGCTCCTCCTTGGAAATATGCAGGCTGGCAAACGACTTCATCTCTTCGTCAAGCTCATCATATTTGGCCTGCACTTTGACAATCTCGGCGTCCTTGGCCTGAACTTGTCGAGCCTTCTCCTCGAGGGTAACCACCTCGAATAATGCCTCGTCCCTCTCCACCCTTGTTGTAGCCAGGTCTTCTCGCAGTTTCCTCAACTGCACTAAGTAGGCCATCGAGGCTGCACTCATCTGAACCAACATAACATATTAGAAACACATGTACATCAGCAGCACATTCACAACATAATCTGAAAAACTACTTACCAGCCTCAACCTGTCAGCTTCATTCAGTTGGGCAGCGAATTCCTCGAGAAAAGGACACTAGATTGACGGCGGGTTACTGAAGGTGTGAACTGCCACAGACGGGTCTCCCTCGAACGGTTGAGGGGGCAAAACTATAGCCTCCCCCACGAGAGGGCCCTTCCCTTTCTCTACCACAGGAGGAACTATGCTAGGCCCCGCCTCCAGCAAGGTTTTTTGCACGGACTCGGTGGCAACGGGCACCGTCTCGACGCTCGGCCATGCAGTTTCCTTCAGGGGCACATCTGTCTTGGTTTTCTTGGATTTTGCCCTATCACCCACCTTTACAATCCTTTTCTTCTTGTTCTTGTGAGGGGCGACAATAACAGTAATGTCCTCATCTGAATTCACAATGACAAAAGGATCCTCGTCACCAAATAATCGAGACCCAGCATTGCTCGATGACATGACCTAACAACAAAGAAGAAAAAAGAAGAAAACGATTAGTACCTTGATCTTCTTCATAAGAGATTTCGAGGGGAATTCTGGTTGCTCCCTCGATGGTGACTGTATCACTTTCCTTCGCATATGTAGGGGGCACATAATACCGAACATCGTTCCACTTAATGACCTTCGAGTATTTTAGAATTTTCTCCACATCTGCCTGGAACTTCCCGGCACTCTCTTCATCCTCTTGGGTCCAATCATCTTTTATGGCCCCGAGGCCCTCTGTCTCACGGAGATTCCATGGCAGACAATAACTTGCGGGTGCCTTTACAAACACAAAGTCCAGTTTCCATTCCGGAGAACTGCCATACGCTTCGACCATCTTCTTCACGCCAGCTCTAAGGCATCTTTTTACTATATACCAATCCTGGAAAGAAGTCGAGGCCACAACTACTTGGAAAAATTACCTCCACAATATCAATCGAGGTACTACTTTTACATATTGGCACACTCTCGCAAACCCCAGTACAAATGTAATTAAATTTGGGGTGAAATGAGCGAGAGGAGTCCTGTAATGTTGAACAATCTCCTCAAACAGGGGATAAAGGGGAAATCTAAGCCCTAGATGTATAAATCGATCATACACGGTAATTCTTCCCCGTGGAGGAGAGTTGGCCCTCTCGTTCCCTAATGGAGCTCTCGCCTCTAAGGCTGTGGGGAAGTCATACTTGGATCTAAGGTTTTCCACTTTATCCACTGAGTTTATGGTTGAAACAAAGTCCAAAACGGTTTTTCCTTTGGAATCCCTAACCATAATTCCGGCAAGGTTCTACTCTGGCTAGCACAGAAAAGGAAACGGAACAAATCGAAGATTCAGATCTAGAAACTTACTATGTCAGGGGGACGTGACCACTCGCCCTTCGAATTATAACTCCCCAACGTTGTCTAGAAGCTTCACTCTGCAACTCCCCTGGAAACGGCATCTCAGGGGCGGAGTATCAGTTAGAGTCTTGAAAATTCCGGCCGGGAAAAGACTTAGGATGCCCTGGAAAGGAAGAGCAGAACAGGGGCTGGAATGCTTTTTGCAAAGGAAAGGATTTTGCGTTTTTGCAAAGAAAGGAAGTGATTAAGTGTCCAGGGATAGTAGAAGTTTTCTCTTTTAAAAGAAAAGTTAATTCTCCCACGTTTCCTTAATTATGGACCACGATTTGACAGTTATTGCGGGTTTTAAGGAAGTAATGATGTTGAGGCCGTCGTTTGGGGAACGTGCCCACTAATAACGCACAATTGAAAATTTGAACAGGATTGGGAAGCTGGTCGTCTTCCCGGGTCACGGCTTGACCCGCCAGTTCCTCTTGATCCTCCGAGATCGAGGGTCATGCGTTAGCATCGAGCTCGTCAGGCATGTGCCTCGGCAATTAGCTGGACGAGGGCGGTCTGTCCATTCTCGGCCATGTCCCAGGTAACGATTATTTTATGCCAAGCGTTGATTGTTTCTACGTCACTAACACTTGGCAGGGGCACTTGACGAGTCCAGATCCATCACCGAGACTGTACCGGCCCACCCAACGTAGGAAGAGTCAAACTGGAACTCTAAGGGCGATGTAAGTTCCTAAAACCTAGTTGGATTCGGAAATTGTCCAGGTAATCTCATACCTATAAATAGGGAAGCTCATACAACAATTCAGGTACACAATCTAGAGCCGAACAAACTACCTACCTAAACCTTCTAGCAATCTTGTTACAGACTTAAGCTTCAGAGTGTCTACCCTCGGGAGGCCCCGAGGCTTTGTTTTGCAAGAAACCCTAATCGGAGTTCTACCGTTAAACCGGCGGCGCCCATCCAAGCATCGTCATAAATATTTGAAAAGTGATAAGGAAAAGGGCTGTAAATATATCATTCATGGATGAGTTAAAACAAAAGCTCTGATAAATTCACCTTGGGTAGGATCATTTTTTATTTTTATTTTGCATTCAAGTAATAATCAATTAAGATAGACTTTTATTTTGACATCAAATCTACGAGCAAGAGTGGTATTTGTGTCAATATATATTCTACCTTCGATATAAATAACTATTTTTATGTTTTTAACTCAATTGTCTTGTACATGTACTTATAACACAGTTCGAGAGATTGAGTCTATGAGATGTTGGCTAAGACGTACAAACAAGTTTCTAATCAAGTTGTGAAGCCTTTTTAAAAGAAAATTATTCAAAAAATTGTCTTTCTTTGTAAACTTGATTCTCCACCTTCCAAAAACCTGACTTTTAGCTTAATTCTTCCAAACAATTAGGCCATTCCACTTTCGTATGCTGTTGAGGCCATGACAATTGTACCTGACCAAATTGAGTGACCATGTTCCAATAAGGAAATGGCAATATCGATCATCCGGACATTAATTCTATTTTAACAAGGAACTACTATATATGACTTCACATTAAAATGGAAAAAGAAAAATATAAAGTAGTTATTTATATGGACGAAAATACTTTCATTGTTTCTTCAATTTAGTTTTATTTTTTGAAAAAATATTCCTGATCAAAGAACTTTGGGACCCACAATCTATTGAGAAATTAATACAAAATAAAGATTTAACGGAAAAATTAATTGGGCCATAAGATTTTGAAAATTCCGTTAAAATGACTAAAGTTGTTGAAAAAAAAAAGATATTAGGGGACTGATTTTGTTGTTTGAAAATACATTGCGGGTCTCAATTCGGTAAAAAATTAATAAAAAATTAAAAACTTAACCGAGTTAAAAGTCGATCATTAGTTGACCATAAATTCCGTTAAGTGGAGTAAAATTGGTGAATAAACAGAGAGATGGTGATTAATTTCATCTGTCAAAAATTAATGGTGACTTGTAGTTGTGACTCCCCAAAGTTTAGGGACCAAAAGTTCATTTTGTCCTTTATAATAACACGGTGATCTTCTAGCCGAAGTGGATGGATAGTTCTGCATCTCCCTGTTTAACAATGATTTTTTCTTCTCGCGTTGATTCGGTTAAAAAGGAAAAACAAAATACAGGAGGCATTTTGGCTACCTATTACATCACTTGCTAGGGAATTAAACACAAATTTAGAGAAGAAAAATGGAAATATATTACCTCAATTCCAAAATATGTATCATTATAAGAGAATTCAAAACATATACCTCAAAACGGATAGATAACGTACCTGTATAGATTGTTAGGAAGTAGAGGATGAGAACAACATTCACGAACTTGACTAAAATGTTTTTCGGTCAACTCACGTGAACGACCTTTAGTTTTTCATGAAACCCTAACGGAAAACTGAAACCTTACACTTTTTCATGTTATGCCACCAAATAATAACGTTTATAGTTTCTAATAACTACATCATGCAATTTTGAGATACTCTTGGAGTAATTTATTGTAATAAGACAGAATAAAAAAAACATATTCAATTAATGTAATTTGAATCGGAAATAAGTTTTATTCCAGATACATTTTGTCAACTTTGACAATTTCTTTAAATGAAAAATATGGGAACCTAAGTATTTTATATATGTATATGGAAAAAGATTGATATTGCTCAATTTATCATTTAATACGAGGCATTGAAATAGTAACGCAATTTATATTTCTATTGTAAAAAAAAATGATTATAAAAGAAATCACCTTCTGGATCAGTACTATGGCTAGAGATAACAATCACAATCTTGCTAAATATGCACAAGAAATTGAATACACGCATAAAAATAACTTATCTTTCGACAAAAAAATGAAATTTCTTAATTATACTTAAATAATTAATTTAGCCAAAACAAATACACATATATACTTGTTTAGACCAAAATGAATACAGAAAAGAGAAAGAATCCAAATAAAAGGCTTACATTTGCACCTTTCTCTAAAGGTAGGCTCGTTGGGAATTGGAGCATCATAATAAGTCACCACATGCGCAACACGGAGCAGTATTAGATCAGCAAGATTGATAGGGAAGGAAAAACTTAGAAACAAACTAACATAATTTTATTTCATTTTTGCTAGTCATTTAAAAATAATCCAAGACGGAATGAGTATAACAAAAAAATAAGACTATGATAAGAAAAAAGGAGAAGAAGATTGATCAAAGTATATAATTTATTTGGCATTTCTCTTACGTTGACCCAAGGAGTTGAAATTGTTAAAGATTGCTTAATTTTCACTTGCATTGATAACATGCTTATCCTCAAACTGCGCAGCAAAGTTGACGCTTGGCATAAACAGGTCCACTACCTCCCTAATCACTCTTCCTACTATCACAAAAGAATCAATATTTGATGCCATTGAAGGGGGAAACAAATGAAAGGGTAGAAATAGACAGTTCAGAATGAGTAGATATCTGAAAATGGCTTAAAGAGAAAGAAATGTAAATGCAATAAAAGATCAAAGAAAGGCTGTGAATTATATTCAAAAAAAGGCATAAAAAATGGCAAGTTATGAACGTAGATGCAACCAATAATACATGCATAAGGTAATAAAAATATGGCAAACACGTGTAGACGAACAAGACATCTCCATTAAAGAAAGTTTACATTTGTATCATAATATTCTTGACATGCATTCAAAAAATAAAAGTTTTTCTTAATACATGTTTAAAAAATGAAAAAGAAAAAGAAGGTACAGGACATGGGGATCATCGACATAGTTTAACATCCGACAAATTGAGATGTTATTGTCAATAGATGTATGCGGAAAAAAATGTTAATTAATTTTAGCCAAAACCATATGCTACTTTTTTGATGAGTGGAAAATAGTTTTAAAATTGAAAAAGGAAATTTCTCATCCACTCCCTGTTTGGGAGCGTGTAGCTAACGCGTCCATGTTGGCCGCATGAGTTGCATGTACTAGTGTTGGCATCGAAAAAAATGGTGTAACAACTGATGTCAGTGTCATATTCTTCATCATAATACAAGATAACCTTCTCGCCCTCCGTTTTTTGTTGCCTCAAGATTCAAGTTCTTTTCTTTTTCAATCATTTTATTCTTTCTTCACTGGCCATTCAAGTGACTATATG